AAACATGAGCCAAAACTTCATGAAGGTACAAGAAGATTTGTTTTTAATGACCACATACTGGCTTTTATGCAAGTCCCCATGCAAGGGGACATCCCACAGGGTGGGACACAGTACAACCAATCGCACAATGGTTACATCCCACACATCTCCTCCCCTTAGCCTGAGAGGTAACCCAATTATCCATACATTTTAAAACACACTTTTTACCCAACTTTCATAACTCTAAAACCATACATCCAATATTAATAAAAGTCACATATTATTAATCAGCACATCCCAAATACAAACATACCCAAAAATCATGCAAATCCTTCCATTAGTTCAAAAGTTAGTTAAAAGTCCTTTGTGACCAAAGGAAGCATGGCTTTGCCTGCCCAAACCAGTCCCCACTGGTCTGGCAGTGTCCCTGGGACAACTCCCTGCTTGAGAACAATGGAGCTGGGGGAGGGGAAGAGGCACACCTTCCCATGAATTCAAAGGGGCAGAAAAAGTGTCTCAAAAGTTTCAGTATGTCCATACACTGTTTTTAAAGGGCCAACACCGTACAATAAAAGTCCATAAGCCCAAATAATGTTTGTAAAGGGCCATACAACCCAGGGCCATAGTCATGAGGCAGGAGGCTGGCACTCAGGCTCCTCCAACAGCCAGGGGCAAAGGGCAACTTGTCACCTAAAAATTTAGTGACAAAAGGCATTTCGTCACAATTATCTCCGATAGGGGACACAATTTACAGCAGAGGTCACCCAGCAGTTATGGAAAATCTGTGGCATTAAGCCAATCGTTAACTCTTCTTATCATCCCCAATCCAACGGATTATGTGAGAGGTCTAACGGTACCCTAAAACAGATGCTCCGTACATTCGGAGAGACCCATAAGGACTGGGAACAGTTTCTTCCCCATCTGTTGTTTGCGTATAGGGAGGTACCCCAAGAATCTACCGGCTTCTCCCCGTTCAAGCTGTTGTTTGGGAGAAGGGTACGGGGACCGTTGGACCTCATTAGAGAGCATTGGGAGGGAGAGAGTAGTGCAGATGGGACCCCTATTGTACCATATGTGCTGGCATTCCGGGATCGCCTGGATGAATTGACCCAGGCAGTGTTCACTAACCTCCAGTCTGCCCAACAACGTCAGCGCCGTTGGTATGACAAGGGGGCCAGAGACCGTAGTTTTCAAGTGGGGCAGAAGGTGCTGATTCTCAAACCTGTCCGCACAGACAAACTACAGGCTGTCTGGCAGGGCCCATATCAGGTGGTAGAGCAGAGATGCGATACCACCTATGTGATCGGCCCATGCTCCGGGGTAGGGAAGCGACGCATGCTCCATGTGAACATGCTCAAACCCTATCACGAGAGAACCGAGGACGTGGCGGCCATATGCACGCCCGCCTCAGAAGATCAGGAGAACCTACCTCTCCCAGATCTGTTAGAACAGGAGGAGCAGAAGGAGCCCTCCCAGGGGGTTCAGCTGGGGGAGCGGCTAAGTCCTCAAGAGCGCACCCAAGAACAGGAACTGATATCGGCGAAGGGTGCCACCTTTTCTAACTTACCTGCG